CGCCAAAGACATCTTCTGCTAAGAAAAGGAAAGGAAGTAAAAGAAAGAAAATGAGTCATATAATTTACTTATTCCAAATTGTAAACAGAAGTGATTTCAGTAGCACCGTGAGCATCTGAGTATTTCCCAGGCTACTTCTATCTGTACCCTCCAGATCCCCTCAAGCAAATTGCTTCCACTGATACTGGGAGAAAACCATATGGGAACTGGTGTCTGGAGATCTTAAAGCAACTACATGAAGCAGAAGAGTTGATCAGTGATTTATCTGTAGGTAACAATAAGTTCTCTCAGATCAAAGTTGAATAGAGTCTCCTATTCTGAAAAAAAATGCTCCCCAAATCCTTCTTATTAACATAGAACTGCAAAGTTACTGTTGCAGCAGTATTTGTGTACAGACAGAACCTGGGCACGTGTTGGGTATTTAGCTATCACTAAACAAGTAGGTAATGCTTCTATTGGGGTTTTTTCTGTATTTTCTCTTGTCAATAGTTGACAGAGCTCTGCAGCAGACACACAGCAGCACAGCCACCCTTCATACATCTATGGAGCCAAGATAAATGTCCTCTGATTCCCTCACTTGGCTGATACACTAATTATCTACACAGAACCACAATCACAGAACAAGAACCTGCTGCAATGAAAATAACTATCATTGCTGGAATAAAAATAGTGATTGCTACTGTTTTTTTGCTTTAATTCCACAGGCTCAAATTAATTCAGACAAAGCCAGGTGCAAAGCAATAGCTGCAGAAAGATTGTTGATCCCAAGTGCAAAGAAATACATTTCTGAAGAGGAGAAGCCAGAAAAGAAGTGATGAGATGTGCTGTACATGGGACACCAGGGGAGGAGCCGCTGTTTTCTGAGAAGGGAAAGCAAACCAGGAAGGTAAAGGCCAAGGGGATCATGGAAAGTTCACAAAGCAAGAGAGGAAAAAAGAAACGGATCCTTCAGCCATGGGATAACACCTTATTAACTCTTCTTACCACCTCCAGCCTGTTTGCTGGGGTTTTTGTAACAAGCTCCGCTCTCAATGTTTGTGTTCACACAGCTTCAGAACTACTCAAGGTTTTTCTTTCCCAACCAATAAGGGTTTCTTGAGAACCCCAAGACACCCCTAAAGAGCACTGATCTCTTAGAGCAGCCTCATTTTTGAGAGCACAAACGTTGCCTGTTAAAATTAAACATGGTGACATCAGTGACACCCGCGGGCAGAACGCGCCCGAGCGCTCCAGCTGCTCTTGACCCAATTATGACTGGATGAACACAGTGGCCTGGCCAATTATCTCAGAACAGAACATGGAAAGAGGATTCAGCTTCCTCATGGAAACTTTCTTTCCTCTCCTTTAGTGCCAAGTGCTGTATTTGATGTTACGGGGGTACATTTTATTTCTTCTTCTTGCCCAAAGGTCAACGGTGGAAGAACGAGCAGGAAAATGATCCAACCCTCTACAGCAGCTGGAGCATGGAAATCTTTGAGCTGTTGAGGGCATGTGGCAGATGCTGGGGAGAGGAGGACATTCAAAGGATAAAGGGGAAATATGAGGGCACAACTGGCACCACAGACACCTCAGCCCCTCCGCTTCAGTTATTAAAATTTCCTAACCTTGCTATTTCATTTCACCGAGCAAACTGGGTATATCCTCTGTGACCTGAAGTCTTGCTTCAGAAAATCACTGATTCTGTAGCAAGACTGCTTTCATTAAAACAAAGGAAGGTTTCCATCATGCAAGGAGCTCCCTGTTTTGTGATCTCATGGATAAACTAACGTTACTTAGGGAGGTGCGGAACGAATGAGCAAACTCAAGAATGCTCCCAAAAAAATCCAGATATCTAAATTAAATAGAAGTAGTGATTCAAAACTACCCTTAAAAAAACACATAATTCTGTGTGATTAGCTACTGTTTAAAGAATAACATTACGGCAGTTCATAGAAAACGTACAGGATTTAAAAGCATCCAAGAACACAGCATGGCATAAAAGCCTTTGTACTGCTTTGATTTTTATTGACCTACAAGTCAATTTACTCCTCCCCAAGCATTTCAACCCCAGGTGAAAAAATCAGAGCAAGATTCCTAGAAATGGAGAAATCCAAGCGGAATGCAATCGTTATCCAGAAATTTATCATCAACACAAAAGGTGATACGCTTCAGTCAAATTCCTTTCTTGAAAATATATTAGACTTATCCTTCAAAAAGAAATAACATTGTTTTACATTTAACTAAAATCTGGCAAGGTACTCAAGTCTTAATTTTTTTACTCTAGTTGAGATTAAAATGTTAATAAATGTATTTATATTGGAATAAAATCTAACTGTTTTGTATAGTGTCTTTCACAGTATCTGAAGACCTACGTGAAAGTAGAGACCTTGGATATGCAATAAAAAAACTAAATTAATCTTCACAATATTAGTAAAAGAAATTGATCTGCAGTGCTCAGTCATAGCTGTCTTCAGGAATATAGTGAGAAATACGTATTTTAACCATGTATATTAAGAAAAACATATTCTCTACTCTTTCATGTGGAAAAGGATTTACAGTGAATACCTTTAATAATGGTGCTTTCACATCATTCACCCAACACTGAGCAGATAGGTCCTTCAAACCAAGCTACTCATATGTGATTAACACTAATTATTATTTAAATTTTTTAAATAACCCAGCAAATCCACTTTTCATTTCGCCAAGCAAAATGGCCTCCGCTCCTATTTCATCTCACCTTCGCTGGGGCACAAAGCATTCCTAAAAATTACTGCTGTCAAAGATGGTTCCAATTTAACAGGTTTTTAAAATGCAGCGTTGTTAAATACCCATTAAATGACCGAGTTACCTTCGTAAAGCGCCTGAAAAATGTTCCATAAAGGACATTGGCCGTTAGTCAAATCAGATGTCCAAAACACACATTTTTAGTAAACATATGCAAAGATTAAAAAAAAATAAATTAAAAATCTGTGGTATAATTCCATAAGAAACACTAGTGTTGTCTGTTGAACTCACTGCGAAGACAGAGGTGGATCTGAATACAAAGACCACAGGAAGGAACGAAGAGCAATTTATTTTCTCAAATGGAAAAATCTGTGTCCTTGAAAGCTGTGAGAGTCTCACTAGAATTTAAACAAACAATAGCTCTTCTAGGCAAAGCAACTGCCTTTTTTCCCTGATTTACATGTCATTCTCATGGCAGCAATGTTCAAATGAGTGTACAGGGATATTCAAACTACAAAGAAAAGCTCTGTAAAAAGGCCAAACTCTGCTTTTCAGACTGTTCAGATTCCCTCAATAGCTGTGAAAATTCCCAGCTTTCCACAGAGCACCTGTAGTAGCATCGCTGATCCCCCTGCAAACAGAAAGCACAACCAAACTTGGGGCTCCAACCTTTGCCAGAAATGACCCCCAAGAGCACAAACCAGAGCTGGACTTAGAGACACCTCCCAGTTCCCAGGATTTGCTGAAGAGAATCCCTCTCCTTTTTTAGTCAGTGTTACAGAGCGACACAGGAACTGGGATGAGCACTGGTGTGTAGACAGAATAAATCCATATAATTCCAAAACTGCCTTTTTTTTTAATGTGCTCTACCTTTGTCCGCAAAAACCAAAACAACAGCAGAAATTCAGGTGAGAGGAGGCTACAACTCTGAAAAGACACTCAAAAACAGATCCAGAGCTGAGATGAATCTATCTTGGGCCAAAAGAAAAAATGCAAAGATAAAAACCAATCCCTTGAACCATTTAAGGCTTTGTTCACTCTTACAATGCAGTGGAAAATAAAAGGCGAGGTTGAATTTTTCTTTTCAGAGGCCACCTGAGTATCCCCTTCCCAAGAGTTCTCACAAAGTATATCCCGCTTTCATTGGAAAACCACAATGGTGGAAATGGAGAAATAAGTCCTGGCTTTGCAATATACTCTCAACCTCCCCCAAGAATCCGTTTGCTCCCTAATGGACTTCCTTAAGCCAGATTTCGATAGTCTGAGTCGTCCATAGTGAAAAACCAAATGATTTCAAAAGTAAATTTTCAATTCAGTTTCATTTAGAAGATGCTTTACCAAAATGTCCAGTTTGGGTATAAAATAATCCATGCGTGATAAGCAATTCTAACGCTGATCAGGAAAGATTATTTTCTATAAACTCTTTAAACTAGAAAATCACCTTAGTTTTTAGAATATTGCCATTGCAGGCCTTTTTAATAAAGGCTCTTAGGAAAATATACCACGCCATCCTTACAAAATACATTGAAAAAAAGGGAGTAAGATGGTTTTTGAAGTGAAAACTCATAAAGATCATTTTCCATGCTGACAGTGTGCATTTCATCCAGAAGTTTGAAGAGTCAAATGCTACCCCAGCTGGGGGTTATTCTGCCAAATGGCTTCCAACAGTGACCACAGAGATGGAGGATGGGAGGGGTGCGTGTGTGTAGGAAAATAAACGTGATGGTAAGCGACCCCAAACCCACATCATCTTATCAAACATCCGACACACGGAACCAAACGCACAATGCAAATCTAGAATACAAAAACTGAAACAAAAAAAGACATGAACAAAAGGAAATAAAGCCATCTGTGAGTTACCTGCGGAGATTTAAAACAAAAAAAAGCACACGAACGAAGCAGATATAATTCACATGAATTTGCCCAGGAAGGAGAAAAGGAGGGGTGAGTGTGAGGGCTGGGGGGGAAAAAGAACAGATACCTTTTTTTTCTTAAACAAATCCATCATGAAAGAAAATGAGACAAGATTATAAATAGGCCGAGTTATAGCGCACCATGGGATTTTTAATCTGGCTACCTGTGGTTTTTGCAGTTAAAGCCCTATTCAGTAGTGGGAAGGGAGGGGGGAAAGCGGAAAAAGAAAAAAAGAGGAAAAAAAGGAAAACGAAATCACGTTTATGTGCCAGTTTGGCAAATGCTCCCCCAGTGAGCACCACCAACAATGCTGGCAAACAGGAAACACTCATTATCAGCAATTTCTAATAAGCGGACGCCTTTCACGCGTTATTGATCGTTACCTGGCCGTCTCGTTTCCTGCTCTCGTGAGCTTGGCTCTCGTGCTCTGCCATGGTAGCGCAAAGCTGCTTCTCCAGTTTCTCGATCTCCCGTTGATGGTCTCGGACCAGGCAGTCCTGCACTGCGTTGTGCTGCTGGAATAGGTGCGTCTTCTCCTGTTCATGCTCCAGCTTCAGCTCCACTATCTGATTGGACAGGGAGGAGTACAGTTCATCAATAGAACATCCTTGTCGTCATGACAACTCGTCTACAGCTTAATTTCCCCCTTAATTTCATCAAGTTGGCAATTTTATTTTTACGTCACTATTACCTCACCTCTTAAAAAGCCACCGTTAGCGTGACAGAATTCCTCCAGACAATCCCAACAATGGAGACAACCGAGCAAATCCGGCGCATCCTTACCCAATTTGTTGATACAAATGTCGGAAGCGTACAAAAAAATAATATTAAAAAAAAAAAAAAAAAAAAAAAAAAAAAAAAAAAAAGGAAAAAAAAGGGGAGGCATTGTCGCATTGTGTGGCGGGTGCCCTCATATCCCGCTGCTGCTCCTCAGCAGGGCTGAGGATCCTAAATGGTTAATAGGCAGCCTGCTCACCCCTTCACTTAAGTATACACACACACAACCCCCCACACCCCAGCAATTAAAGCTTTGCAAGATTTCTTTATGATTTCCAAAGCGAACGCTCTTCCTGCGATATTCCTCAACACTGGCGCATAGAGTTGTCTTTTTTTTTTTTTCCCCCCTTAAATAAGAAAAAAAAAAGAGCAAGAAAATTATAAAAAAAAACAAAGCTCTATTATCCCGTTGTCAGCTACGCTATCCCAACATAAACAGATGTATGTGTTCCAGAAGGGCACCTGCTGTGCCGCAAGCTTGCACCATGATTTCATAAGAAGCCCTCTATTCTCAGGAGCCGTTCCCAGTCCGCACCACACTGGATGCTGTGACCTTGGCCACTCTTAGCCTCTCCCCGCTTGCCTGAATGGCAGCCCGAGACCAAGGGCCTGGTTGCTGCAGCTTTGATATTAATCCTCCCGCCTGCGCACAAAGGCACCCTACCTGGCCTGCACACTGGAGCGGCCAGGCCGCCTTTGAAGCAGGTGATGAATAGGGACGGCAGGAAGCCGCTTCCCCACTGAACTCCGGGCCACACAGCTGCTAAGAACAGTCACTTGGATTTTTCTTCAGTTTTGGTGGATTTCGGAGAAGGAGGAAGGGGGGGAAGGAAGGAAAATAACAAAAAAAAAAAAAAAAAAAAAAAAAAAAAAAAAAGAGAAATCTCTTATCGTGAACATGGTGGGGTATTTTCAGCATGAGAAAGGAAAAAAAGAGCGGACGGGAGGAGCCGCTGTGTGAGCGCGGAGAGCGCCCGGCACCTTATCTTAAAGCTGTAGCATTCAATTCTGGAATGATATCAGCTGGTTGCCCGGCTTCCGCGGGGAAAATTTGAAGCTAAGTTAAAATAAATGTTAAAAAAAAGGGCATTTTCTCCAAGTGCAGATCAGCGTGTTGCAAGTTTAAAAGGGAAACGTGCCATCCGTGCTGCGGTTGGGAGCATCCTTCCGCAAACGGAGCGAGGAGAACAGATGCAACATTGCACGGTTTAACGTATCTACATTATTTAATAACACTAAAGAGCTCATTAAGAGATGCCTGAAGTCCCTGCAGGGGTTAACCCCTCACATTTTCCATGCTGGGCCTGGGATCCTCACACAAAGTTCTTAACGCCAGGTTTTTGCCCAAGGTTTCTGTACAAAACTGGCTTCTCCCAGATGATCGCGGTGTCCATCCTGTGCCTAAGAGAAAGAGCTGTTGCTCCCTAAAATAACTGCAGTCTTAGCCTGGTTTAGGAGAAAATATGTTTAGTGTTTCCTCATAAATCAGACCTGATTAAAAAGAAATCGTGTCAACAGGAGAGGCCTTTCCCTTCAGACATTTTGTTGTCTTAATTACTGGGTTTTCAGCCAGTTGTTCCATGTAGGGCTGGGTTAAGGCAGTTTGCTGTGGGGAGCTTCAATTACTGGAGCTGTCACTTTTTTACCAGAAGAACCACAGGGAGCAGGGAACACATCTTGCTTCTCCAACCAGTCACACACTTTACCACACTGACCAAAGTAATTAGTTTTGTTTAGTAATCTCTTCACTAAACAGCATTTATAGACACAAAGTTTTTTTAATTTAATAGGTGGAATGAGCAAAAGGTTCTTCATCAGAAGGGGTGTCCTCCCAGCTGGTAGGTGGAAAGAAAAAAGGCTGGTACCAGGAGGGGAGGTGTTTTACAAAAGGCAAATTTGTTGAAGAAAAATTTTAAAACCCCCTCATTTAAATCTACGTATTCCCCATGATGGCTTTAGTTTGATACTTTAAGATGTTTCTGGCAGGGAGCAGAGGTGGAGAAACAGGAGAGGAGAGAAAGGATGAGGACGAGAGCACTCTCATCACTCAAAGACCTCCAAAACCATCTTCCCTAATGAATATTAGCAGGTATTCCACATGTGAGTGAGCAGCCATCCCCTGCCCCAGTGAGCACTCTCTCAAGCTCCTGCTCTCCTCAGAACTGATGCCAAGCACTATGGCTTATCTTCCACTCCTCCCTCTCTCATTCGTGTATTGTTATTGGGTTGTTTTATAAAGGGAAAAAATAAATTAACATATACCAAAAAAACGGAAGGAGAAAATCCATGCTGCTTTTCAGCAGCAACAGGACTTCTTCATCACAGGAAACTGCATGAAAACTGTATTAATTCTTCACACACCAGACAGATTCAGTCTCCTCTTTGAGGCAGAGAGTGCCTTTATGAATGATATAACAAAACCACTTCAAAAATTCTCTCGTGTTGAGATCTTGCTGCATCTACCCCTCGGTGCTGAGCACTTCATCAGATCACATTCAAGTGTCTGCTCCAATGCAGCACTTCAGTGTCCAGAGCTCAGGCACTGGTAGGTGCTATACATTTCAGCCAGACAAGCAACACGACATCCACAATGGGCATTAGGGGCAATGCTGAAAAGGAACATTCATTAAATAATCGTGTGTGCCCCATTACCATAATCACAGGGCACTCATTGTGCCTTGGATGTTTCCTCATCTTGTCCTCCCAAAGATGAAAATCTCTTATTCCCTTCCCTGCGCATCTGTTCCTGTCTCCAGCCATGGCCTGGACACAAAACCAAGCAGGAATGTCTGTCTGACCTGAGAGAGCCTTTCTTACCACTGCTGTTAGCAAGTACCACAAATACATGAAAATTACAATCTCTTCTTAGCTGAATTTTTAATTTTTTAATTATTTCCACACAGTGTGATAGAACAACATTCAAAACAACAGGAAACAGGTGATTTACATCAGAATTACACAATTTATTTTAAATTTAGCTTTTAATTATACTATTACTTCTAAATTTAGCTTTTAACCTTAATTTAAATTTCCTTACTCTTGCAGAGAAAAGGATGTTAAGAAGAAAACGAAATTCTTAATAAAGAGATAAAAAAGATTAACACAAGAGCTGTGACAGTCTCTTGGTGCTCACTCACACACTCTAACAAAAAGGTGCCAAACAAATCTGGCAGCATGGTTCCTACTGCTTTAGGACAACTTGCTAAAACAAGAGACAATTAATACAGAGCCAAGGTGAAATCCTGCTGCTGTTAGCACGCCTGAAGAACAAAGATCGACAATAAACAGCCCCCTGGTTGCAGGAGATGTTTTCAGAAGCCAAAGATTTGTAATATAATCAACACCAGCAAATACCTTTTGAAAGTCTCTAATTTAGACAAGGCCTTCTACTACCCTGATTTTGCTTTTACATCACATGCTGAGTTTAGGCTTTTCAATTTTAGAACAATTTCAACTTGTTCTTAAGAACAAGCATGCCTTTGAAATTCTTTTTAGAGTCCCCAAAGGAGGGAAAGGAAATTAGTTAGCTCACTACCCCTTTGAAAAATGTAACTGCTACAATAAATATTTGACACCAAAGTATGAAAATTCATGTAAATTTATGTCCGCAATTCCAGAAATATTTTAAGTAACACCTATATAAAATACGGTTTTGCAAGGCAGGATGATTTTATAAGCACTGTTTTGGCATGACTGAACTGAGGGCTGGAGAAGCCACCAATTTATTGCACGTGTCACAGCAAAGAACTGAGCTAAACTCACTCTGCAGCACACCTACAGCACGTCTGGTTTCACTGTTTCTATCCTACAATCATTTAAATGTTTGTAAGTCAGGTGTTTGCATGATTACCCCAGGCAGGGCACAGCACATGATCTATCCCCAAATAACAACTCCAGCAAAATCGAGCGTTTTCTCTCTCCTAAGCCTATAAATAAACGTGTGTGCTCCGTGAGGATATGGGGATTACCCATCTCTGCAAATACTGCTGCTAAAAGTAATCTGATCTTGCAGGCTGGAGGAGTGAGTATTAATCACATTGGGGCTGGTTTAGCCTAACTTTGGGCAGAAAAGGAGCATCTTCACTACAAGTTAAGAAAGAAAACCAGAATCCCTTTTACCAGAGCTCCTTTGCAGCAGGTAAATTAAATACATTTTTATTGACACTTTTTTGGGGGAGATTTTTCTCTAAGTTGACACATGAAGGTCTCTCAAGATACAAGGGCTGTAATGAGCCAAGGGCAAATGAGACAGTGAAAAAGACATCTGTGCAGAACCACACTTAGCACTGAAGCAGTAGGTACACGTGGGGTAATGTACATGACTTCCTATTTCACTGCAGGCTGCAATAATTTAATTGGCAGGACTCTGTTTTCTGTAATACTTATACCTTTTCACCAACCACTAATAATTATTTTTCAACTGCAAACTAAGAATTGCGAGAAATTCTCTAAAAGAAACAAGCTGGTCTTTAGCCAAATTGCAGTTTGATTTATCCTCCCCTAAAATTATGCACCTGAATGGTCTCACTCTCACTATATAAAATTATATTCCTGATCTGTACATTTTTACTTATAAAGGCTTTTCAGAATGTTAATATTTTTAAAGTGTGGGCAGCACAAACCCTACCTCAATCATTCCATCTTCCCAATCTTCTGGCATAAGTAAATTTCTTTTTAAATCACAGAACCACAGAATTGTTTGGGTTGGAAGGGATCTTTAAAGTTCATCTGATTCCAAGTCACTGCCATGGGCAGGGAGATCTTCCACTATCCCAGCTCGCTCCAAGCC